AATGGAGACATTAATAGATACCTAGACAAATGGATGGATGGATAGAACATAGGTCATAGAGGTGATAAATTGAAAGTTAGATCGATGTCAGATGCCTACATGATACATAAATGGATGATGATGATATAGATGATAGAGAGATGGTAGATAGATACAAAGATATATATATATATAGATAGATAGATAGATAGATAGATAGATAGATAGATATATAGACATAGAGGTGCACACCTACATCAAAACCTGTGACATATAGCTAGGCAGTAGTGTATGCCTATTCCAACAACTTGGAGGTGGAAGTGTAAGGAGTCTGGTCTGCACAGTGAGTTTGAGGCCAGCAGGGCACAGAGCAAGACTCTGCTTCAAGTGAACAAATGAAAAAACAACATAAAATTCCCACAAACATCTTCCTTAAAATGCATACCACTACTAAGAACAAAATTGGAGTAGGGATAAATTGCTCTAAGTTCTTGTATTGCCCAAGAACAAATAATTATTAGCTTACATGTTCTGAACTTATTAAGCAACCTTTTTTCACCTCCTGAACTGTTACGGAACTGGACGAAAGCTACAAAAGGCACATAATAATCACAGTAACCTTTCGTATTTGTGTTAGTTAGACAAGAACAATACAAAGGTATAATGGTTTAATTTAGTAGAAATATACGACACTATTACGTCTAATTAATTGAGAGCAGAAAACACAATGCAAAAATTGGTAGAATTAAGAGAGAATCTGGTAAATCTATCATTAGAGTAAAATATCTTGGTGCATGTTTCTCAGTACATTAATAGTTTTAAAATCACATAAATACGAAGTTCTTGAAAGTTTGAAAAAAAAATAATTTAGCATTCTGTATTAGGAGCTGGAGAGATGACTCGGTGGTTAAAAGCACTTGTTGCTCTTTCAGAGGACCCAGGTTCAGTCCAGTTTCTGTGTGGTGGCTAACAACCATCCTTAACTGCAGTTCCAGGGGTTCCAATGACCTCTTCTGGGCATTCCACAACATGGGTACACTTACATACATGCAAAAAAAAAAAAAACAAAACATTCAGACATATAAAATAAATAATTAAATGTTAAGATGCCCTATGTTAGTTACTTTTCACTACTGTGATAAAACACCGTGACCAAAAGGGAGTTATGAAAGGAAGAGTTTGTTTGGGATCCTGTTTCCAGAGGGAAAGTCCATCATGGTGGAGGAGGCATGGCAGAAGGTAGGCAAAGCAGGAAAGAACAAATTGGAAAGGGTAAATAGGAAAAATGTGAGCTAAGAGCTCACATTCTCAATCACAAATACAGAGTGAACTAGAAGAGGGACAAGGCTATGAAATCTCCAAGACTGCCCCTACTGACCTACGTCCTCCAGCAAGACCACACCTCCTAAACCTCCCCAAACAGCACCACCCACTGGGGGACCAAGTATTCAAATATCTGACATTAAGGGGCCATTTCCCATTTAAACCACAAAATACCCATATAGACTATTTTGCATCACCCCAGTAAAGAATAAATTTTCCTTCCAAGCTCACATAAAATATTTACAAAAACTGATCACAAACATAGCCATAAAGAAAAATACTAACAAATTTGTTAGACCACAGCATTAGAAAGAAGTGTTAAGAAAATGGTGCTAGGAAAAATATCCATACCACAATCTGTAAATTAAGACATACCTTTCTAAATAACTCGTAAGGTAAAGAGATAAAATAGTGGAAGCTTAAAAAGTAGAGCTGAATAATACTGAAAATGCCATGTATAATGGTAACTGAAATGTAGCTAAATTTGTATTTATTCATCAAAGAAAGTCTAACAATGAATGAACTAAGCAGACAACTTAAAAATTTTTGTGAAAGGAGCCAGACTTGCTGACATAGTCTTGTCAGCAGGGGAGGCACGAAACTTGTCAAGTTCAAGGCCTGTCTGGGATTCAGAGTGAGCTTAAACCTAGCCTGGACCACAAAGAGATGTCCTATCTCAAAATAAGAGGTAAAAAGAGGCCTGAGGGTCTAGCTCAAGAGGATAGTGCTTGCCTAGCATGTGCCAGTCCTAGATTCTACCCCAGTCCCATATAAAACAAGATTAGATAAAATAAAATATAAATTAGAAGAAACACAGAGGAGAAACAAATTAAAGGAATGAAGTGCTTAGGAGGGTACTTAGTGGGTAAATGCTGTATATTAACCAGGATCTGACTTTGGATTCCCATCACTCACCTAAAAAGCCTGGAATAGTGACACATGGTTGTAATCTCAGCACTGGTTTGGAGAATGGCAGAGACAGGAAACTCTGAGGAGCTCGCTGGTAAACTAGACTAGCAAAATCACTGAGTTCAAGGACTAGTGGGGAACCCTGTCTCAAAAAACTAAGATGGAAAGAGATGGGAGACATCCAGAGTTGACCTCTGGCTTCATACATGCATGTTCCCTGTCTCTTGTACACTCACCTTCACCTGTCCCCCAACCTGCATACACACACAAAGGAGAGAACAAATATATGTACCAATAAAAATTTTGTTATTGGCATCAATATGGATGAATATCAATGTTGAGTGACAGAAACTAGACGCAAAATGTTCCTTTCCATTAAGTTCATGAACAGACTTATCTGTAATAATAGAAGCAATTATAGAAGTTTATTCTGAGGATATGGACTGGGGATGGAAGGAAAAATCTATGCCTCTTGATCTGGAAGGTGTTTGTACTGTGTATTAAAGCAGGGATTTCATTTTGCTGCATATTAAAGATGTGTCCTCTTTAGTGTGCAATGTAAACTGTGACTCAATAGAAAGGCTTACGAAGACAAGATGGATTAGCTCTAGAGACTAAGTGTATGGAGAAAGTAAAGGACACCAGACTAATGGAATACCAGCACCCATGCCAAGAAAAATAAGATACATAATATTAAGAAAATGAGGATACAAATGAACAACAAGGAGATTTAAAAGATGCTGTGTGAATATACTGAGAGAGGAGGGGAAGGAAAGGAAGGAAAGAAGAAAGGAATGAAGGAAAATCAATTAAGGTAATTCACCACATAAGACATTAAAGAATTTAAAAGCTGATAATTTTACTGATTTCATAGAAATTTAATAAAATCAATAGTTAAAATTTTAAATTTCATAGATCATATTTTCAATGTTAAATAAATACCAATATTTGGATAGGAAAGGCATACTAGCTCTCTCCACCACTGCTTAACATTATTCATGACTAATGAGTAAGTAAAGGAAAATATATAAAATATTTAAGTACAAAGTACAAAATTAATATCTAATATAATAGTTAACAAAGAAATCTCAAAGAAATCCACAGATGATCCATTAGAATTAAAAATTATGAAGAAAACTTTTGGAATATGAAATTATAAATTACAAAGAATTTAAACAGTATACTAAACTAAACATTATATGATCACATAATAATATAAAGTACTGAATGATAAATATTGCCAGGCATATGCAATGCCTCCATGGAGAAAACACAAGCTTTGTGAAAAATTCTATATACTGAGAGAGATATCATATTCTAAGATTACAACACTTAATATTGGGAAGATGTCAGTTTTCTCTATATTGATCTATGGATTCAATTTAATCTAAATCAAGATGACAATAAGATGGAGAGAGAGAGATGGAGAGATACAGAGAAAGAGAGAGAGAAGGGGAGATTAGAAATGCTTTAAGACTGATAATTTTTTACAAGGAAAGAAAGATAAGGGGCAAAAATAGCACCCTGCATCTGAACAAGTCTTGGCAGAGGAATGTGTCTTCACTAGAATCCACCCCTGGAATAACACTGTGCTATTTACCACAATGTAATACTTTTGCAGGGATGTGTCAATGAAGCAGAATTAAACAGTCTGTAACTGTGATGGAGCTATAAACATGCGACGCCTGGCAGAGTCAGTACTGTGATAACTGGGGTAAAAGCACATCGATAAGTGGTGTTGGGATAATTGACCAGTCCTTGTATCATCCATCCTACCACTCAAGTCAACAACTCCAGGGGCATTAAAAATTAAAATTTGAAGACCAAACTAAAAATTTAGGGAACAATAAGAGAGCATTATATTTCTGTCATCTGGTAAGGAAATTATTTCTTGAATGAGGTGAAAAAAAAAGAGATAATCAAAGGGGAAAGGTGTTTTCAAAACTATGAAAAGATGTGGTTTTAGTTAACCATGTCATTGTCTTGCTCTTTTCTGCGTTATATAGCGTTATATAACAGAAATGGGCAATTAATAGCCAAAAATGGGCAATTTATAGATAAATTAAGGATATTCCTTGTAGCTCTGAGGAGTAGGAAGACCAAGGTCAAAGAGCCTCATCTGGACAGACCTTGTCACTATGCCACTCCTGGCAGAAGTCCACAGAGCTCCACAGCACACACATAAGAAAGCTCCTACAAGAAATCCCCCATAAAAGCCAGAGAGATGATTCAGCAGTTAAGAAGACAAGCTGCTCTTACAGAACCCCAGATTTGATTCCCAGCACCCATATAGTAGATAATAACCATCTGTAACTCCAGATCCAGGGGATTTAACGTGTTCTTCTGGCTCCCATGGGCATTGCATGTGTGGATACACATGCACATATGCAGGCAAAACCACTCTTACACATAAAATAAAAAAAAACAGATAAAAAAGAAATGCCTCACAGTAACAAATCTAGTCCCTTGTGAATAATCTTCATCCACTGGTGAGAGCAGAACCCTCATTACTTCTTAAAGATCCTACGTTGGTACTGGGGACTGAGTTTCCAACCAATAAGTTTTGAGAAACTGAGAAAACTATAGCAGTCACTGAAAAGAGTTAGAGAAAAATATTTGTGGCATGGAAAAGTCAAATGACTAGAACACTACGAAAATGTCAGTCTAATAAAAACATAAAAAGAAACCTGATAAGACCCTTGTTAAAAAGGAAAGACACCATGGCAACATCTTTCATAAATAGCTAGACATACACAAGTCACAACATGCTTTCCAGGCTGGCAAAAAATAGAATGACACAAAAAGAATTGGGTATGGTTAAAATTTTTAAAGATAACTGGTGAAGGATGAATGGATGTAGCCATTTTTTTTTAAAAGAAACATGTCATTGCCTAGAAAATTGAAATGACTCTCACCTGAGTTCCTAGACGTATATCCTAGGGATACTTTTGTGTATTTCCATTATCAGTGCATAAGTATGGAAGAAATGTTCACGGCAAAGCTGGAAATGGACTATCATCATACTATATTGATACAGAAGAAAACCATGCATCAGCAAACTGTAGGCAACAAAATGGATAACAGAGCAGAATGATGCTAACAGCAAATCCAAGGATACAGAATTGATGATGTAAGTAGGTACACGTGGTGAAACACAGTCATCTGAGGTTCACATAGATACTGTAGTAAATAATACACTGTTTAGGACAGTAATGTGGTAGAAAAATCATAGAAAAGGAAAAAGTAATGCAAAGTTTTAGGTACGGGATAGTACTGGGAGGATTTGGATTGGGACAGAGACACAAGGGTTACTGAAGGTGGCATTATGCTCATATTTAATAATTCAAACCAAAGATAGAGATTAATGAAAGAGTCCACAGATTAAAAACTATTTTGCAAAAATAGTCTAAACAGAAAATGTCAGCAAACTGAATAGGAATGTTTGCAAAATATATCATAGGTCAAAACGATTGATAGCCCTAATATGTCAAGAAATCTTAAAAACAAAGGGGAAAATATTTAAAAGGCAAATTATCAAAAAGATGACATTTTTATTTTTCATTTGGTAGATAAATAATAAAATATCTTTGTAAATTTAGTCTGTCTTACTTTGAGTGTCATTGATCATCTTCCCATCTACCTAAATGCTATTTTAATATCATTTTTTAAAGTAAAAGAATAGTCTACTAGAAAAATAGTGGAAAGCTCTTAAAATTTGCTGGTAAGAATATAAATTTTACTTATGGAGAGAAATCTGATACTGTCTACCAAACTAGCTTTGTCCCAGAATTGCCATTTTAGGAATTTATCATTAAGTAGTTATGTCTGGGTGCATACTCACTTATAAGGATTTGGTGCGAGGATCCACAAATGAGGGAGAACATGCATCGTTTGTTTTCTGAGTCTGTTATTTCACTTAGTAGAACAGTTTCTAGTTCCATCCATTTACCTGCAAATTTCATGATTTCATCTTTTTTTAATGCTGAGTAGAACTCCATCATAAAAATGAACCACATTTTCATTATCCACTCGTCAGTTGAGGGATATTTAGGTTGTTTTTATCTCTTAGCTATTGTGAAAAAGCAGAAACAAACATGGTTGTACAAGTGTATCTGTAATAGGATGAGTTCTTTGCATGCCAAGGAGTGGTATAACTGGGTCAAATGGTAGGCTCATTTTTCGTTTTTTAAGAGTTCTCCACATTGCTTTCCATAGGGGTTGAACAAATTTGCAATCCCACCAGCAGTGGATGAGCATTCCCCTTTCCCTACATCCTCTCATTAAGATACACCTTGTTTTACATGTGTGTACAAACCATGTATCATTACTCATATTTCAACATATCATAAACAACATCAATGACAATACATAGAGCAGTGACTGAATAAAGATTGTATCATCTTTTAATGGGGTACTACGCAGCTGTGTAAAAGAATATGTAACACCTATGTTACTCTATAAAATAAGATTAAAAAATGAAACTATACAATAATAGGTAAACTAAGAAAATATGCCTGCATTTATTCACATGTGAAAAGACGAAGAAGCAAAGCTTAACCAATACAATGAGATTCATATATGTGGTTTGTGGGAGTAGACACTTTTGAAATGGAATGAAGACCACAAATATCTTTCCTAGTGTATTTTTATGATGATTTCAAGAATTATGCTAAAAATGCAATCAGCAACAAATGTATTTTGAAAGGGATGATGGAAATCCCTCAAATGAACTATAAACAGAACAGAATGAAGAAAACCTGATTTCAAATGAGCAGCCTAACCACAGTAATACAGAGTGGGTGACTGACACAAGCACTTTTTTTGTAACTGCAGGTGAATTAAATATCCTCAAGTTAAAGGCAAAAAGAAATGTAAACAATTTGAACTCTATTTTTCTTAGCCCCAACCAAGTTATGAGTAAGCAAATTTGAAATTACTTTCTATATAATCTAGGATTTAGTGAAATAAGTAAATACATTACGGATAATGAAAGACAGATTTTCCACTCACCAAAAGGAAATTGCATGTATGGAAAAAGAGGAGGCTGGTATGAGCCCTGTGGAGTTGGAGTGCAACTAAACTTAATAGAATAATCTAAAGGTTATGGATAGAGGTGTGAATATGTGCATATGCATGCATGTATCTTCTATGCATAGATATGTTGTATATAAAATATATATGAAATATATGTACCTAAAAACACAAGGCCACATATGTTTATATACACTTATACCTACATCAGTTTCTCTATTCGTCTACATCTACATGCCTACTATACATGCAAATTGATTTAGAAATCGAGTTGTATGAACATGAACATACAAGCTTGCAGAGGTAGATAAGTTGATATGTGTTTCACTTACGTCTGTGGGTGTATGTATGTGTACCTATGTGTATTTACTAGTTCCATTGACTGAGAGACCTGGCAGCAGTTAGTAGCACTAAGGAGCACCTTGTAACTAAGTCTAACATTGTAAGTATCCTTCTCTGCTGAGGGAAAGACAGTCTCTAGAGCGAAATGGATGATTTTAGTTCTTTTAATATTTTATTTATTATTTTTATTTTACGTGTATGAGTGTATTTCCTGCATGTATGTGAGTTCACCCATGTCGTGCAATGCTGAGGAGGTCAGAACAGGGTTTTGGATTCCCCTGGAACTGGAGTTAAGGATGGTTTGTAGCCGCCAATGTGGGTGCTGGGAATCAAACTCGGGTCTTCTGCAAGAGCAGTCAGTGCTCTTAACTACTGAGCAGACTCTCCAGCCCCGTTTTTAGTTTTAAGTAAGTACAAATGGACCTTGTCTACAGAGAGCAAAATTTTCAGAATGATTATGGTTAGAGTTGGAGTGATGGCTTAGTGATTAAGAGCACTTGCTGTTCTTGCAGAAGACATGGGTTCAGTTCCCAGCACTTACATGGAAATTCAGAACCACCTGTAACACCCATTCCAGGGCATGTGACACCTTCTGACCACTGTGGGAACCAGGTACACACATGGTGAATTAAAAATTAAAATGTTCTCACTGCAATGTAAATTTTTTTCCACAATTTTTTTATTGACCTTTTAAAATATCATACAGTATTTCCCAATCACATCAAGGCCCTCTCCCCCAACCATACCTCCCCCCTCTCCCCACTGAACCCGACGCTCTCTGTCATAGATGCTAAATCCCACTCATTCAGGTGTTTATTCCCAAATGTCCTTCAGTGTAAATGCTTCCACGGGCGTCTAGTCGGCCCATCCAGTGGTCGTTGTGAATCATACTCTCCCTCACCCAGCACAATCAGCCTCAAATAGTTCTCAATCTAGTGCTGACCCACCACTTATTTCTCACCTCCCCTTTGTACCCTTCTTTAATTGCGCTGTCATGGGTCCTGCCTTTGATGTCACTGCTGCCACAGGCTCACATGAGCAAGCCTCTAGTGGTCTGGAGGCCTCCACCTCCCTGTGTTCATGAACCAGTCCTGGCTCTTACAATCTTTCCACCTCCTCTTCTGCAATGATCCCTGAGCCGTGGGTGGTAAAGCTTCCATATAGGAGTCCCATCCTACACTCTATAGTCTTATTCTCCAAAACTTGGCTAGTTGTGGTCTCATTGTGCATATCACTCTGACGTACATAGAAGCCTCACTGGTGAGAGTTGAGGGGTGCATTAGCTGTCTCTCTACCCCTTATTCTGCCATATTCCATGAGACTTAGTTGTAGAGATTTGACTGCAGATGTGTCACCTAGTACTGGGCATCTCCCAGGTGTGTGTTTTCTGTGCCTGACCAGATGTGTAACTCTGCAGTAGCCTCCATCTGTTGCAAAAGGAAGCTTCTTTGATGAGTGCTGTAAAGCATGTTTGTCACTCTAAGGGAGGTCTCTTCTGTATCACACTGTGGTCCCTTCCAAGCAGCTCCCAGGTATACATATGCATTAATGTTCAGATACTCTACCTGCATTTCTCATAGGGTATCTATGGCATCACTTTTCCCTCTAGGTTTCCTAACCCCCCAAGATTCACTCATCTCTACTCTTTTTTTCTCCCATTGGAGTCTTACCATGGGTCTAAGACTGACAGAAGTTCAAAATGAACTGTTGTGGCTGACCTGGTAGAAATAGTCTCATTGCCAAACTAAAGCCTGAGCTAATGATTCTAGCACTGAGGATTGGAGATGACCCAGGCAATCAACCTGCCTCATTGTTGTGAAAACTATCACTGTCTCAGAATCAGCTAGGTGATTTAGATGGTTGATATCACCATAGACATTAATCTTCCCAATTCCTGACATTCTTCAATGATTTCAGTAATGCCTATTATCATACTCCCACCCTATCATACACACATTTTAATAAAAATGGAGTAGAAGGAAGTGATTATATTCGAGAGCTGCATCACTATTATATTAGAGCTATACCCATCAAGTAGAAACTGCGTTACCTTCTACACTTGCAGCCTTATCAAGGGATGCATTTGTCACTTAGACCTTAAGAGAGAAAGCCACAAGGGTGAAGAGTGAAATAGAGGGACTATAGAAAGGAAATCATGGATCACATGTCTCACACACACGTATCTCATATTCAAATCCATAATATAGCAAATAGAAACACAATTATTCAAATCAAGAAAACCTAGACCAAATGTCACACTAGCATGTACAGTGGTGTGACCTGGAGCAAGTTACTTGACCTGCTTCAAGCCCATTCTCCTTATCTGAACTGGTATTTATTCCCCCTTGCTCTCAAAGTTACAAAATGACAAGCACTTATTAGGTGCTGAGGAAGGAAGTTAATTTTCCCATTACCATTTCTCTACCCTACTCCAATAATATAAATATGAGCTTTCAGAGTATTCTTAAAGGTATCTAAAACCAAGCATAAGATCTAAAATACTGAAACTCTTACCCAAACTTCAAGAGTTTTTGTTTTGTCTTTATGTCTCTTCCAATTTCCCCAAACCAAAATCTTTTTGTCATTTGTGAGCCAGCAAATAAGAGAACATACCCTAAATGCTATTCTTACCATTGTAATACATCCTAAATTCTTGAGTATAGATACAAAAGATGATTACAGTGTATACCCAGCACTATTTATATTATATCTGCCCTAAAAGTTAAGAAATTCTAATTTGAGGTCTGAGGTCTCCAATCACATAACTCTTCAGTATGTGGCTGGGAGCAGCAGAAAAGCTGCAAAGATAAAACAAAAAATTCCATTTAGGGTCAGAGGCCCAAATTGTTTATTATAGAAACTTCAATGAAGGATTTACACAAAGACAATGCAAACTCAGTCCTCCCTCCCAAAATAAGATTATTTCCCTCAGCCAAGCTAATAAGTTAATACCATCATTATTTCCCTGCGTGCAACATTAGATTAAAGCATTTTTATCTTCCAATTAACCTGCAATTATGTGCCTTAATATCTGACATTCTCCTGGATTTAGGTTAATCCATACAATGCCAATATTTAAAGATAAGGTCCCCAGGTCAATCAGCTAGAAACCATTCCCAGAAGTTGATGCTAATCAAATTTGTTCGTGCAATTCAGGGAGTATATTGCTATGATAAGTTTTAGAACAGATGTTTGACACTGAGGAATGCTCTTTATGCTAGAATTTAAACTGCTGTTGTTCAGTAGTGACAAAGGTTGTTAAAATATATTTTGGAGGTTGGGCTGATTACAGTGCTTAATCAGAAATAATAGAAGTAGCAGTTCTTTCTAGCTTCTCGGGTACAGGTTTCTCGGCCTCTCCGTGATGTCTTGATAGAAGCACGGCTTGAGGAATGGGTAGAATTATGATCTCGGCTGAGAAATTAGCCTTAAGCACTTGCTAATAAAGGCAAATAGAATTTTGAAAACCAACATGTAGACTTTGTGAGGTCATTTTATTGCCTTCTGTACCAAAGTAAGGTAGATTGATATAATTACCTCCCTAATATTATTCTTTAATTCATTTTAAAAATCTTGGTTGATGATGGGAGATCTGAAAATTAGAACAGATTAAATCTGGCTCTTCTTTTAGCTTGAAGCGGATGTTTAATCCTTGTTTTTCTCCTGAAAGATATCCAAATATCCAACATTCTTCACCCTCATGATCTCCCACCAAATATAAAAATAGTTCATATTAATTTTTATTTTTTTCCAGAATATTCTGTTCTAAAATTTGTGCTAAAGAACACACACACACACACACACACACACACACAATTTCCTCACTATTCTAAGGTCATCATATTTTTAGAAACAGTTAACTCTTGTTCAAGATAGATATTGGAAGATTTAAACACAAAAGAACTGAAGATAAATGTTTCTCTCATCTAATTAAGAGCTAGAAAACTGAGAAGCACTGAATAGTCTAGACAAACAGCATTCCACAAAGCCAGCATTCTCTCTAAAAGACTTTGAGAGTGGAGCTTTTGAGTAAATTAATTTTTTTGTTAAATTTTTCTAATTTATTTTCATTTAGAAACTACCAACATTGGGAGGCTGGAGACATGGCTCAGTGGTTAATAGTAAAAGCCCTGAATACTCTTGCAGAGGACACGAATTCTAGTCCCAGTATCCACAGGGCAGTTGACAATCATTGATGGCTTCAGTTCCAGGGAATCTCCCTCTTCTGAATTCCATGGACACTGTAAACATGTGGTACACTTACATACATGCAGGCAAAGCACATATACATACAAAACATAAATACCTCAAAATATTTTTTAAAAAGAAATACCAGCTTTGGTAAATATATGACAATATGATATCTCAATTCATGTTCATATAGTTTCTGTGCTCTGAGCCTTGAGAATATATTAGCAAAATGTTTTCACATTTCAATATTGTATTTATGAACCAAAAAGTTTTCTTGTTGCAGTTAGCATGTTCCATTATTGTTCTGAACATGATATAATCATACAAAGCTGGATTGGGAAGTAGATCACTCTAAAGTCATTATTATGCTGCTCAAAGTTCCTCATAGCTCATACAAACTGTGGTACTATCCCTTGTAAAAGAATCCTTCGTCTTCATAAAGTTACCCTGGGTAATTCAGCTTCTTCCAATCAGATGCGAAAAGCTACAGAAACGGAGCTTATGAGTGGCGAGTGTCACCATGACAATCAAATCTAATTCCACCTAACAATATTCTACATAGGAATAGGAATGCCCTGTCCTTCCACTGTCTCCTTTGCACATTCAAGATCAGAACTGCTTAAATAAAGCTGTGAGAATGAATGCAGGACCTATGTTCCAATACGGCATCCGAGAAAAGTCAAAATGGGCTGCACCAGGTTAACACTCTGGACAGCAGGTCACATCACATTTCTTACTTCCAGGTGGAGTAAAAACTGAGCTTCCTGTTCAGGCTATTCCATGCAAGCAACATGTACATTCATCTTTGCAGCAGGCAAATTCTTTACTAGATTGTGTGCTATAGAACTTGGAATAAGGGTGAATTCTATATCATCAGGAAAACAAATCTCATAAACACAGTCTTCTAAATGAGCTGTAGCTTTAAAAATATACCATTGACTATTCCAAAAAGAGACCTTCCCTAGATCAGAAGCCTATTAGAAACCAGAAATGTTAACATCTGTTGCTGTGTTGCATGAAGGCAGAGACAGAGATTTATTGGTACCATATGGAAAGGAATCTGATTCCAAAATCCAGCTTTTCTGGTATTTCCCCGAATAAGTTGCCAGGTTTATAGAGTAAATACAATCAAAGATAAGAGGCTGAAAAGACCCCTAAGAATTCCATCTAAGAAAGGAAGCAATCCTCTAAAAAAATTATACATCTTGGTATATCTAACATGTTATATAATTCTTCAAAAGTAGCTCCTCAAAGCTGGGCATAATTGAAGTATGACAGCCAACAATGAAAGGCGAGCATGTGAAAATTTTCTCAGAAAAAAGTGATTACTAGTTCAGGTGCTTGGAGAGGGGAAGGTGGGAGTCAGAAGTGAAATTGGATCTTGTTTAAGTTATATTACATTTACAATTCCCTATCCTTTGTAAGTTCAAGAATGATAGAGATTATGTGAAACAGGGCCATGGGCAGCTCATACTGCCCCATTACAGGCTGATGAATGTAGCTCCACTAAGAAGTCATGGTGTAGACTGGGGCCTCTCAGCTTGGACTGTGGTGAGAGACTAATGTCTTACAAAGCCTGGGAGGAGCACCTAAAAGCAATGAGCAATACTTTTAATAATTATTACTTTATGTGTATGATTGTATTGCCTGCATGTATGTAAGTGAACTTGTGTCATGTAATGCCCATAGCATCAGATTCTCTGGAACTGGGGATATGGATGGTTGTTAGTTGCAATGTAGGGTGCTGGGGTTCAAACCCAGGTCCTCTGAGAGAGGAATCAGTGCTCTTAACCACAATGATCAAAGTTTTGTGCATGTCCATGTATGTGCTTGCTCATGGGTACACAGGTATATACACACACATTTGTATGGAGGTTGGAGGTCAACCTTAGATGTCATTCCTCAGCTGTCATCCATCTTTTTCTTTTTTGGAGATAAGCTCTCTCACTTGACCTGGAACTTGCCAATTAAGCTAAGCTGACTGGATAGTGAGCTCCAGTGATCCAACAGTGCCCACCTGCTCCACCTGTCCTCAGTGCTGTGATAAGAAAATTGTACTACCACCCTAAGCTTTGTACATGGGCTTTGGAGATCAAACTCATATCTTCATGCTGCATGGCAAGCACTTTTCATCAAAGTTATAGGCCAAGATCCCTGATCTCTTCTGAGAGAATAACTGTGTCACTAAAACTTTCAGGACAGAATAGGAAAAAGATCAACTCTCCCAGTCACATGTAAGGAGATCATTCCTAGTCATAAGAATTGGACTTTCAGGACTTGAGAGATGTCTCCCCAGTTAAGAGCACTTGCTGCTCTTATAGAAGACCTTGGTTCAGTTCCCAGAATTCACATAGCTACTAACACATATCCATAAATCTAGCTCCAGAGGATCCAATGCCTTCTTCTGGTCTCTGTGAATATTGCATGTATGTATACACAGGCAAAATATGCACACAGAAAAATAAAAAGAAACTTTAAAAAAGAATAGAATTTTCTTAGCAAAAAGAAAACAACAGTTGAGTCAGCGTGGCAGTGCTCAGAATGAGGAAGTAGCTAAGGCACTATCTAATTTAGGAGGGCTCACTAACCTTGTAAAGCATTGATTAATCTAACTAATCTTCTATAATCACATTGTTTCTGAAGTAATAACTAAGCCTATCTTTAAGAAAGGAGAGGGTGGTTTCCTTAATCAGTTTACAGCTATAATTTCCAAACAGGAAAATAGTCTTAAGGGGCAAATATCTCAGGGAGTTGATACAGTAACTAGATCTAGAGTCAGTAGAGGCAGGAAGTCTATACTCATGAAATTAAAACCAATATATTACCAAGGGACTCCCTTCTGGAAATGAGAGACAAAGGAGGATCCTCTGTCTTCCTGTGGTTGAGCTACATTATACTCCTCAGAAAGGAAAAAGATGGTCTCCTGAAGAAGCTTATGACCTCAGGACTTTATAAATATTCCACTTGTTCTTGGGTATGTGGAGTATTTTCCACTGTCATTGGAAAACTTAGTGAAGAACATATTTCCAAAGCATTTGTAAAAGGAGTTGCAGAAGCAGGATTCAGTGCTATTTTCCATGTTTATCAGTCAACAAGAGAGAATACTCAGGTTGTCCTTTGGCTAAGTTTATGTGAGCAAAGCAAAACAAACTTTATGAATCAGTATAGATACCAAAGTAGCTAGACAGCCATGAAAGATAACAGAGAATTAACACTACTCTTTTTAATCCCATGTGTGTTTTCTTAGACCATTGAATCTTGCATAATCAGCTTTTCTAGGTAATACTTAGGTAATAGAACTCGCTTACCTCAGAGACTTAACATGCATTCAATGATGGTATGGGTTGCACGTGGTTAGAGAGGACTGGTTGCCTCCATTCAACAGTTCTGTTCATAATGTCATCTTCCTTCTGGTTCTGGCTGAAATTGTAGCTTGTAGAAAACTTCTTGTTAGGAGCCTATTAGAGCTGAACCATGCAGTGGCTCTTCCTTGGCATGCCAGTATCCATGGAAATTATATAAGCAAACTTGGTATCAGGTAGGAAACACCCCCTTCCCCTATCCACACACAACAAGCACTGTGGACCACATAGCAGCAGACAGGATGATGACTGTTTTCATGGGTGTCTGAAGGGTATTTGGACACAATATTATAATCTATCAGCCATGGATATGTTGAACATGACTACAAAATAGTCTTGACTTTCTTGATAACTGCCTGAAGAAATTTCAGAGCTCGTCAACAGTTTAACCATAGTTGAAACCAAAGAGAAGGGTTTTTTGGACACAGTCCAGTGACATATTTCAATTGTGGGAATTGAATTAGAGGGAATTTAGAGGCTAGGTGAATGTATTAGAGTTCTCTAAAGGAACAGAATTGATAAAATTCATATATATATGTATATAAAGTTCATATATTTATGATAGTCTGCGTAATCCAAAAAACGGCTGCACTAAACTGGAGAAACTGAGAATCCAGTCCATGAGGCTGAATGTCTCAGCAGTCCCAAACTGGCACTGAAGGCCTAAAGGATTCCTGTAGACCTGCTAGTCTTCAGTCTACCTTGGAATCTGAAGAAGTTGGTTCTGCTATCAGCAAAGGAATGTCACAGCAACAAGATGAACTCACCAGTGAGAGAGAAGGGAAGCAGAAGAAAACCCAAAAGCTCCCTTCTGCCATCAGAAGATAATGCCCACATTTAGGGTGAGTCTTCCAACTTCAAATAATATGATCCAGAAAGTCTCTCTCATTTTAGTTAATTCCAGATCCAGTCAAACTGATAATCAAGATTAGCCATCACAAGCCTACCCCTTACCAAAACTTGAAACCAGGAGTGGGGTATTGCTGTATGGACCTGATCACATGTATCTGGGAGAATTGTAGCCGGTTTTGGAGCTTTTGACTGAAAAAGTACATGAAAAGTAGTGAGTTGCTCCATGAGAACATGGAGAAACACAGGTAATGGAGGCCTGGTTTGTGAAGTTTCAAGGGATGTGGACACTATCAGGGCTGTTTGTATGATATTATTGAATTGAGAATCTGTGGTTTCTGGTCAGCTGATGCTGAAAAATCAACTGTGAATAAGACGAGACCAGCACCACTGAAGTGAAAACTTTTCTTTACTCGGACAAGTGATACTGGTTATCAGGGACTGAAAAATCAGCTGTAACAAGAGACCAACATCAGGGTGGAAAAATCTTCTAAGAAGTATTTCCTCAGGGTCAGCACACAGAAACTGTGGTCTAGAGGGGGCCCAAGCCTCCATCTCATGCTGGAAGCAGGACTTGGTAATGTCTAAGAGTATCCTACATGGTACTGGTGTTGAAGGCATGAAGGGGCCATGGAAACAATCTGATGGTAATGCCGTGGCCTCAGTTGCAGTGAAGATTAAAGGGATCATTGTGAGAATCTGAGGCTTTGCACCATAAAAGCTCAGGAGAACCCATTGTTGAAGGTGCAGCCTCAGTTTCAATAGAGATCCTAGAATACTGCAGGTATAGGACCATGTGCTGACCACTAAGGGTGGGAAAAAGTATAGAGTGAAAGTAGCCAGAGTCTTCAAGAGAAGTTGTATGTGCTGTGGATGGTAGAGCCAAGAAAGCAGAAATTCCTAAGCCCTTTGGAGCCCAGAAGATCATAAGTGAATGCCAGATGTTCAACACTGAGCTACATTGCTGGACTTTGGTTTTACTTAAGGGTATCCAGTTCTTCACTTTTCAAATCATACAGTAGTTAACTTATTTTGCATTTTACAGGAGACTGGATTATTTTAAAGAGACATCAAGTTTTTTAAGCGTTTGAAATTTTAAAGTCTGTGTGACTTTAAACGGTGTACTTTTATATTAGGAATATTAATATTAAACTGAGACATGGAAAAGTTGTGGTTTAATAGTGATGTGTTCATGTGTCAGGTTGACAAGGGGCTAATTGTGCTGGATCACTTCAGTTGTCAACACGCTTGGGTGGAGGGAACCTCAATTTAGGAATTTCTTTCATTGGAGTGGCTGTGACTGTCTGTGAGATATTTTCTTGATTGTGGAGTGATACAGAGGGACCCAGCCCACTGTGGGTGGTGCCAGCTCTGGGCAGGTGGTTCTGTGTATATAAGAAAGCAGGCTGAGCAGACAGAGGGACTAGCCAGTAGCAGCATTCCTCCATGGTCTGTGCTCCAGCTTCCTACACTGGGTACCTGCTTTGTCTTCCCTCAGTGATAAACTGTGACCTGGAATATTTAAGATAAAAGAAAACCCTTTCCCTTAAAGATCAGACACTGACTAGACTCCAGTGGTTGAACTTGCATTGAGGGTTCATACTGCCTAGTGGTACAAACTCCCCACCATGAATGTAGATGATATTAAAAGATTATTGTACATAATAAAACATAAACTAGAATCTAATAATGTGAAATATTTAGAAAAAACTTACATTTTATTCCATGAATTTCAATACATCGTAATATGGATGGTGGTGTAGAGGTACCAGACACATGCCAAAATGATAACTCAGTGACAGAAAAATCATATATTAAACTTATTTTAAAAGATAAAATTCACAATGGCTATTTTAAAACCATTTAAAAAAATTAATTTTGACCATTGATGAACATTATTTTCAAGCTAATAGTAAAATTCATTAATTATTCCATTCCATGAATTTTTAGTCAACGTAACTTTCCATTTTGAAAACTTGAAAATAATGGATTTTATTACATTCATACAAGTATGAAAGGAATTTTGTTTATTTATTCTATTCATTCACTTGTCTATTAATTATTGCCAAGCTGTTTAAGAATGAATAATGAGTCTGGATGGACATGGCGGCACACACCATTAATCCCAGCACTCAGAGGCAGAGACAGGCAGACCTCTGTGTGTAGGATCGAGACCAGCCTGGTCTACATAGGGAGTTCCAGCCCAGCTGGGGCTACAGGAAGACCCTGTCTCAAAAAAGAAAGAAGAAAGAAAGAAAGAAAGGAAGGAAGGAAGGAAGGAAGGAAGGAAGGGAGGGAAAGAGAAAGAAAGAACTCCAAAAACGAGTAAATGAGTCTGTACTGTCTGTAAAAATAAGGTTGTTAGAGTTCATAAATGTTAAGTAGGTACAACAAAAGTGTGTGACAGTATTCAGAATCAAAATAAATACTCAACACTTTTATTATGTAGTCATCAGTTCAACAAAGGGGCACAACAGCCAACCAAAACAGTGGGAGAGAAGAATGCACAACAGAATGAATACAGAACCCAAGCCAGGTATGAAGGAACTTATGCCCCCCTTTGAAATTATCTTTTTGTAACAGCCCCTTCTCGGGGCACAATATTTCTTAATCTGAGCAACTAATCTTTTTTTCAATACGAAGTAAAATGTAATAATAAATAAAAGTCATTAGAAGAATTTGCTAAATTGACATATGTAAATACAAAGTTCATGATGTAAATACCAGTTAAAGGTAATTCCCTACTCCTTTTCTGAGGAGTCTTCCAAAGTTCAGCATTTTAAATGGAATGTTTATTTTCATTCAGAGAGAAAGAGGGAAGGAAAGCCCTGAGATGCAAGTGAGTCTAATCAAAACAATAAGAAGCACATTTTATGTCTAAAGGGATTCTTCTCTAATCCAGACCCAGCTGATAGCCTGAGCTGAGAATCCACCTCTCTTGTCAGGAGCATAGCCAGAGATATTCACAGTCAATTAAAGAACCACTGTCCTTCGGGAAGTTCACAGTCTGGTCCCAGGGTGACTGTAGTGTGGAAACAGCTGACTACAGGAAGATGCAGGGCGGCTTGCACACCCTAAGGACCTTTAGAACAAGTTCTGACCTAGATCAGTGCTCCCAGAAACACAAACTCCTCATTTCCACTGCTTGCTGACTTCCATGCTGTAAATACTCCTAGCATGGCTCATTTCAAGTCATCTCTAGTTTAACCTGGCTTTTCAAGTTCCTGAACATTTATCCACCGTTTTTGAGAGGCAGCAGGACCCACTGCTTCACCACTGTGACCTTTACAAGGATCTGTGTCAAAATACTGCTTTTCCTTCTGGCCTTGTTTTTATGCAGGTTTTTAAGTTTCATCTATTCCATCTGATACAAGGAATCTTTCTCAAATCACTTAATCTAGAGCTCAGGTTTTCTTCTTTTCTTCCCAATTCCCCTCCAAGGCCCTGAGCTCAGCACAATAGCCAGCACACAGGATTCATTAAGTGAAGGTGGTGGTTACTGGATGGAAAGAACCTTGGAGGAAGGTTAGTTTCAGTGGGTGTATATGTTATAGGGCTGAGGATTCTGAAGGCCTGGCTGGAAATTTGCATTTAATTTAGTAAACAACAGAGAATTATGGAAGGCTTTCAAGGCAGGGCCTTGCACAGTTAGATCTGAGGTTTAAGAGGATTATTCTGACAGGAAAGAAGAGGAAGAGGAACACATGGAAAAGAGGGGTGAACTAAAGGGCTTTAGCAAGATGTAAATCAGAGGTGATGAATTTAAGCCATGACTTGTAGCTAGAAAATACAAAGCAGATATAATGATTTCATTTTCCCTTTATAGACAAATAAATACTATCAAACAGATAACAGAGCTAACCTACAAGGTTCTGTGGCCTTCAGATAATTCTCTATCTCCCTCTCCCTTCCTGTTTCCCCTCCTCCCCTTCTTTCCTTCCTTCCTTCCTTCCTTCCTTCCTTCCTTCCTTCCTTCCTTCCTTCCTTCCTTCCTTCCTCTTTCCCTTTCTTTCCTCCGTTTATCTTTTCTTCCTCACTTCCTTCCCTTCAGTTTCAACAAATTTTAGCTCTGAATCAGAAGTGAAAATTCTTTCTCTACCACAAGAATGATGGTGATAGTCAATATTACGTTTTTTTACTTTCAATATTTGTTTGCATTAAAGAACCATATAGATTCTTACCAATACAAGAGTGGCATACATTTAGGCAAAGGTACACACATGACCATCTTTTGTGTGTTTCAAGCACAGAGAAATACATTATTCTATCATTTATTTAGAAGCATCAAGTGAAGCAATATATCATTATATGTGAGTAATTCTAAAAATAAATGTAAAAACAAAACTCAGAGTCATCTAAGCCAGGATTATAAAAGTCAGGTGGCATAAGTAGTCGATCTTTAACTTGCCTTGTAATTAGAAACAAAGTCTCCTTGGTTTCATCATTAACCTGCTTTTTAAGCTAATTTACATATTTTGTTTGAATATTAATAGGTAGGTCACCTCTGAATTCTACATAACCCCAACAAGTACTGTTAGGTTTCAATCCTCATGTCAAAGACATCTTCAGAGAAAACCAGCACAGACAGGTATGGCTTCTGCTTTTCCCAATACTTTTTCTCTAATTGCTATTGTGAATTTATGGCTATGGATCACTCATAGATGGATATGAATGGCTTTGTGATATGATAAAGCTAGACCTATAGCATATATATTTAACAGGTATTTATTAGGAAGGTGATTAAAATAAGTCACTGAAACCTAAAATCTTTACACAATGCCCAGGACTCTAGGTAACCAAGAGAACTGAAGGCTACCAGTTGCATAATTTCTTTTGACTTATTGTTATTTCCATAGTATAAAGAAAAGTAAGAATCATCATGGGTCTCCTCTTAAGCCTGCTTCAGTTTTCATCTCTATGAATCCTTCATGGAAACTACTTTGGTTTTGCATCAGTATTTATAAAAAAAAATAATGCTTTTTGTCATGTTGGCATGAAATTATTTTCTTATCTATCATTCCTCAAAATCAAGAATTCTTTTATCATTGAATATGTCCATATTTTGAGCAATGCAAAGGCTCTCACACACAAACCTGTCTACAGATGCTTTTTGAAATGAATTAGTATGTGTTCACTTTGAGTTTTTCAGTTTTACATGAATGTGTGTACATGTAAAGCACAGCCACTTTTGAAGCCTATTTACCCACAACTTCTAGGGAAGAAATATTAGCCATTTCATTATGAAACCACAAGTGCTCATTAGTAGACTGAAGGCTACTAAAATCTACCAACATGTTAAGTATGACAATAAACAGCTATCATCTTCTTAATGCACTGATTAGATATAGCATTTCTGAGGTTAACACTAGACTCCTGTTACTGCATATGAATCAAAAGTCAATGGGAGGGAAATGTGGCAATGCTTTGAAATTGCAATTTAAAACATAATTGTATCCAGTTTCTCAACAAACTAATTCTGGTTTAAACAGTTTCAGTCTATTATCAATCCATGGAAGGACAGGTTTCTAGTGTGGAGACCATCTTGATGACTATGCCTTTAATGAGACTGGACTGTGGTAGAGATATTTACACTTTGTAATACAAAAAACCAACTGTTCTTAAAAGGCATGCTGATTATAAAACCAAAGAAGAAACTCAAGGAATAAACTGGACAGTTAGTTAGCACTCCCCTGAAGAAAGAAAGTGGCCATAAGACCAAGTGTTTGAAGATGTCGCCTCCTAATGTGTCTTAACGTTTAGAGCATGTGATTCAGTAGACCATGTTTCCCTTACAATTTAAGGTAGCATGTCACAGATCATCTTATTCTGAAGGTAACTGTGCTATCCATTTGCTTTCATTTTGCAGGAGGATGGAAAGAGGGAAGATCCTGTCTTCTCAGTACAGCTCCTATATGGCAATTCATTTGTGTAAGACATACTCATTCACTCAAAGCTGGCATTCAAATCACTATCCTTAATTATAATTGTTGGCTGCAGTTAGTAATTTGTGAATGGTTTTGAGCTGCTGCCAAAGATAATATATCTCCAGGATGGGGGGAAGGAATAAGCTTATGGGAAGAGAAGCTCTTTTCCCATAAATGATGAATCAATCCATTATATTTGTGATAATCAATGCCCTGGATCCTCTTCATGTCAAGGTAGGGGGAGGGAAAACTTTAGAGAAGTGGCCAATCATTATTAATTCATCCATTGTCATCATATTAATCATGAGGAGCTAATGTGATATTAATGTGACTATAATGTAGGCTTCAATAAGAATTTCACTCCAGAATAGAAACAAGATATAGATTTTCTTTTCTAACTTAGTTATCTAACAAGTGCTTTTTAAAGATCTTAAGGAAAGAAGGGACCATCTCACAGGCTTTATACTTGAGTATGGAAGGAACCAAGGAAATTATATTAAGGGCTCACCTGTAAATTTCCTGGCTGGCCCCACGGTTGTCTGAGACAGTCAGCACTTCTGACAATGAAATGCTCTTCCAGGAAACATGCATTGCTGAGGCTGCTGGGCACCGGTGGCAGCCGAGACAGTTTCTGGGAATACAATCTACTCTCTAATGGTGCCTGTCATTTCCTGAAGGAAATTTGAGGGAGATGAACAAACAGGGCAATAAAGCTGATATCTCATCTTGGATTTGAGAATGTTTGTTTCTAGAATGATCTTAATTGAACCATTCCAAATGTTATTATGGGGACTTGTATCTGAAGATGTTGAGGGAACGTAATTTAATGGTTTCAGTATTCTAATACTCAAGAAAAATTTTGTCAGTAAGTCCAGTTCAGCCTACTTTCTCCAGAGGAATGGGTCAAGAGGTAAATTCTTAAGGTTACAGTATCCTCAAGTTCATTGTTCATTTGCACCTGATCTTTACTCATTTACCAACTCATGTCTTGTTATCATGTAGAACCAAGCATTCAGAATTCTTTACGTGGTCCACATTGGTTTTCATCTTTTCATCTTTCATGTCAGCTTCTCTGTCTAGAACCTTACTCAGACCAGCTTTCTCCTGGTGCTTCAAGGCACAGGTCAAGAACCATGCCCTCAAGGTGCTTCGCCTCCTCCTCACTCAGTTCTGTTCCCTTTCAACTGTGGGGCATAATTCTCTTAGAACACTTGTCAATAGTTTGAATGGCCATTTTCACTTTTTGTCCACAGACCATTTTCATCACTTCAGAGTGTATACTCAGCGTTTAACTGATTATCAGACACATAAAGGGGAACTAAAAGATGTTAAATAAGCAGCTAAACACATCAGTAAACATGGTAGAGCATATTTGAATAAAGATCTATTGTTTTTAAGTTCTCATTAATCTTATTGTACTCATCAATCAGTAGACACCTACTTAATAAGCTTTTCTAATATACTTCTTCAATTCATTTGATATTTTTTAATCCATATGTCTTTGCTCTTGGTGAACACCAATGTTGGCCTTTTATAATTGACACAATTATCCACCATCTAGTTTATTTGTGGCTATTATCATTATTATTATGTTTTCAAAATCACCATCTCTACTGTTGATAACATTTGCATACATTTAGGGGAAGAACATTATTGGTGAAACTTATTGGCATAATTGCTGAGGTTCATCTCTAATGCCAAAAAAACCTGATTAATAAGTAGTTCTAATCCTCATGGTTACAAGGGATGTGACCTAAAAGGTTCAAATGAATGCCAGTCCTTTTCTTCTCTGTGTTTTGAATAAATTTTGATTTGCCTTGAAGAAAAAGCTGGAAGGAAATATTTGTCTCTTTAGAGTCAGTGTTCTGACCTCTTACTATGTATATCTAACTTCCTAAATTTCATTTTCCATAGATCCTCTTCAGGTAACTCACATTTCAGATTCCTGTATATAAAAACAAAACCAAACAAAATTAACCCAGACATCTTCAAATATATTTTCCTCTTCCCTGTCCAAGTGGACCATAGTAACCCTGTCTCTGGCCCCGAAGGCTAGTGATCACATGATGTCAACAACCAGTTTCTTTTTCCTCCAGTGCCCACATTTGGTCAGGTACCTGAAGTTTTCACTGCTTTCTCCAGATTTCTCCTGAGAATTTCCTTTCTTCCTTGCCTCCATCACTTTGACTACAGGTCTCTATCAGCTTTTTATTTTTTAAATTTGTGAATTTCATACAATGTATTTTGATCTTATTTTGATTCCTTCCTATGTTTGTACTCCCTATTTCTAATCTCCCACCAAATTTCTGTACTCATACATAATGTAGAACTGTAGAGTCAACCTTATATCCCCAAATACCCTTCAGTGTGGGTTCATTGGTTGGAGCCAGGTCTACCTACTAAAAGTCTCACCCTTAAAAGAGACTGCATTTTCCCTTACCAGCAGTCATCAGTTGCAAACAATTCTTCAGTTAGGGCTGGGGGTTCTTCCTCACTTCCCCATGTCTGTGTAGGAAATTTGTTTGGCTTGAGCTTACATGGGACTTATCCATTCTGTCAGCATTGTTGTGATTTCATAGAAGTAACAGAGAACCACAACTGGCCAATGTTCAGAGAGTAAGAGACTGTAGACTGTTTATCCCTAAATAAGATACCTATGTCAAACTTTTGCCCCCCAGCTTCTCAGGGATCATTGCAGAAAAAGTACAGAAAGATTGTAAGACCTCATCATCTTTGTTTTAGGCAGTAGGTCCTGAATCAGCCTCCTGCCTTCCAGGCTTGCCTCCTTCTATTCCAGTCTTACCAACTCTAAAGCAAGTCTCTACTCATATAAGTATCCCTGCTGAAGAACCTTAAATGACCCTTTATTCTTTATCAGATTACATCTGAAATCCTTCCCCAGTACAAGGCCTTTTCTAATTTACCTCCCAAAGACACTTCCATGTTCATTTCATGTCAATAGAAATTTATTTTTTTAACACACAAGAATTGAATACTTTCAGACTGAAAACAGTCTGCAAAGGTGGAGAAGAAGTATATGTAAAAGTCCAAGAATTGTGCCAGAATTTCGACATTACTGCTTTCTGGCCTCACAGGACCTCCAAAAGATTTTACTTAATCACTATGTTAAAAATAAAATGAATAAAAAACCCACCTTTGCCAAAGGTAGTAAACACTTAACAGTAGCATTTCAACTTGAGATCTGTCTGTCTCAAGGGTCTTCCCATCACCATGTTGCTTAGTCTCCCTCAAAACTATTGTCTGCTAACCCTCACATTCTCCTCTGAAGGACGTCTTTGACTTCTCTAACATATACCACTTGACAATCTTTCTATGTGGATTTTGATATTAAAATTTGATATAATTTCATCTATGAATTTTCTTCTATCTCCTATTTTTTCTCATATAAAATTTCTTATTGTTAATTCTCTCCATTTGTAAGTATAATTAACAGACTATACAACCTTCAATGGCAGAGAATTCTAACTAGCATGGAAGAAAACTCATAGTTCTCAGAAATATCTTTTCTAAATGTACTAACTCCATTTCTAATCAGTGCTGAAAGTATTTATGTTCTAACACTATCCGCTTGGGAGTTCAATTTTCAGTGAATGAGATTTGAGGAGAAACAAACACTCGAACTTTAGCAGACCCTAAAAATAAAAAAAAATCATATGATCATTTTAGACATAGAAAAATGATTTGATAAAATTTAACATCCATTCATGATACCAGAAACAAACAGAACAACTATTATCAAAGTAGGAGCAGAAAAGATCTTTCTCAACCTGCATCTGAACATAAATGTATAGCTAACACCATACTAACTGGTGAGAAGTTATGTAATTACTTCAGGATAAGGACCAAGATAAGAGTATCTCTTACCATGTCTATTGATTATTCAATACTGTATTTGAGATTAAAGCCAAAATAATGAGAAGAAAAAGAAAGCAAAGGCATCTAGATCAGAAAGAGAGAAGTCAAGTTGTTTTTATTCACAGATGGCATGACCATCTTTGTAGATCATTGAAAGAAATACATAGAGAACTTACTTGAAATAAAAAGTAGTTTGATAAAATCATAAATTAAGATTAATATGCAAGAAAGCCATTACATTTCTGTGCATTGGCAGCAATCAATTTGATATTTATAATCTTTAAAATATGGTCTACAATAAAATCATAAATAAGAAAATTGAAGGATAAATTATAATAAAAATGTGCAGAAGAAGGTGGGGAAAAGTTGAAGAAGACCTAGCAAACAGAGAAATACACTTTGTTCATGGGTAGAAGAGTCAACACTAGTGAGGCTATCTGTTCTCCCTAAATTGATATGCAGGGTGTGAGGAGCATATGATAATTCTGTTAGGTATTTTCAATAGGATGGTCATTATCAAGCCAAATCTTATCAAACTGTGCCCTTCAAATACTTGGGATTTCTTTACATCGGTTATACATAATAAAACTATTTTTAAAACAAAGAAAAACTCTTCATTAATTCCCCCAGAACTTTCATTTGTTAAATAAGGTTTAAAGATTTTGAGTAAAAAGTATAGATTTTTGTGATTTTTCTACCAGCTAAATGACCTCAGGAGAATGACGTCATTAGTGTTGGTCCCCATATCCATAGAAGAGGAACAATAAAGTTTGAGAAATCACTGTTTGGAATGATTATAGCATTTACTTAAAGGCCTAGGACAGTGCTTGACTCAGCTTGAACAGGATATTAAAAGACTAAAACCCTACCCAGAATGATGGTGCATGTCTTTAATCCCCCATCTAGAGGCAGAAGCAGGTTCATCTCTGTGAGATCCAGGACAGCCTGGTCTACAGAGCAAGTTCCAGGCCAGCTGTGGCTGCAGGGAGACCCTGACTCAAAAGCAAAAATGCTACAAGGACATAAATAAATAAATAAATAAATAAATAAATAAATAAAACAAAACAAAAAAACCCTTACTTCACATTTGCTTATGATGTTTTCAGTCTAAAGCAAATTCTGAGAAACCATATCTGCCATCTGAAATGTATGGTTTCCTGTCCTAAAATATCTACATTTATCCATGAACTTTAGTAATGAGTGTTACTAGTTTTCTAACTATGGGAAAGTCAATAGCATTTCTAAATCTTTGTTTTTTAGTTTTAATAAAGAAAGGCTTAGATCACAGGACTTTCAAGGTCATTGCCTGCTTTAAAATTACAGTTTTGGAAGAGAACCCAATTATTTGAATTGCTTAATGTGCAGTTTATTTAGTTGTCTTGCCTATGGGACTTTGTCAATAGTTGAGGAAATTATGTAACTATTGTTGAAATACATGTTACTTATGGTGGCACATTATTTTCAACTTAGAACGATTTTTATTGCATAATTAAGATGATCAAAGAATTTGGAGGTCTCCAAACTGAAAAAAGAAATAACTAGATGCACCAGCGCCAATTTTCAACATATAAAATAAATCACTGATTTAAAATAAATGTCTTTGAAAATGACAGAAGTATGGCCGGAGCTGTATGATTGTACTTTTATTATCTTAAAAGTTTTCTATTACACGTATTCACAGATACTTGATTTTCTGGTTTCATGTACTTGGAACATTTGTTTAGTTTCATTCTAGTCCAGAGAGGGGCAGAATTAAAAAGTTGCCTGTATAATAGCTGGACTCTCACTGCCACACATTTTATTTGGAATTATAAAACACATACAAACAAGAATATAAATAAGCCAGTTGATTTGTGTGTGTGTGTGTGTGTGTGTGTGTGTGTGTGTGTGTGTGTGTTATGGCTAAGCCTTCACAAATTCAACAAGTAGCAAATAATTGTGTTGTTCATTTGCCTTAATTTCAAAGTATTGTCTTCAACAAAGTATGTCCATTGCTTACTGCCCAATTCCCATTTATGTGTATCTTTGTAGATTCAAGATATATGCTTTGCAGAATGTAACACTGAATTGCAATAGAAAATTTAAACTTAATGGTATCTTTGAGTTTTAAGAAGATCAGGGGTAAATGAACACGTGCTTTAGTAAAAAAAAAGTACATTTACATATATCATTTGAATGAACGTATATACGTATTTATACTGAAAAAAGATGCTACATACAGAAATATGTGCACATACATAACAATATTTTAAAAGAAAGTTGTCAAAATCACAACACAAGTTGAAGAGTGCATTCACAAAATCTGAAAACCTCTAGATGATACCAAGAATATTTTTTTTAGAAATGGAAAAATAATTATAAAATATATTGTGATAATAAATCAGAAAAGGCGCTTGAAATAATCTCATAAAATGTTATAGCTTAAATAATGCCCTTCATCAGTACTCTTTGTTTAACATTTTATGTTTATTGATAAATGAAGATGCATTTAAATAATTCAAAGAAAACATTAGCTGCAAGCAAGGGATTAATAATTGATAGGGCTGGAAGGACTCTTTTCACTTGGGAAATAGATAATATTAGCTTAATGTGGGGCTGTAGGAACAGAGGAAATGTAATGGATCTGCCGCTTTAAACTGATGATGGTTATTGTGGTCTGAAAGTTGCTACAAAGGCAGAAGCAGGGCGGCTCGGCAAGTGCAATAGATTTCACTCACAGGAGCTGACAGCGCCAAGTGTGGTTTGATGCTTTGGATTTATCCATGGGAGGAGTCCTAAAGATCATGACATATACTGAGGAGATGAAAAAAAAAAATGTTACTTAACCATAATTGGCAAATAGAACGAAAATCCTTTGAACACACAAGACGATCAAAATAGAGATTTCACTTTTCTCCTTCATGGTGCCTGAGGGCCAGAGTGAGAACATGGCCACCTTGCTTTTGATGGAAAACACCCATCAGGGGTCTTTAGTTCCCTTGCCGCTGGGGTATAGCAGCCGCTCCAGCCACACATGTGGTGGTGCCAACATCTTTGGGGAATGATGAAGGATGAACAGCCACAGACAGAAGAGACCCATCTGTTTGCATTTCACCTGTATTTGTCCTACTTCAAATATGAGAGACAACCAAACCCATCTGGGAGTTTCAGAGGATATTAAACTTGCCCTGCTTTCTCTGTCTCTACCTCCTTTAATTGCACCCCATAGACAAGAGAGTTTCCACCCGGAGTGCCCAGGAAAAGTTCACACTCCTCTCTAGTAAACCCATCTTTGCCTTTTAGGGGAACTCTTTAATTTCTGATCTGGCTTGAAGTACAAATATATCTTTAATACTTATGTTAGCTCACCACTTTTGGTTTAGAAACATTAATTTCCAAACATGCAGTTGTGAATTAGTTTCAGAAAAGTTACTTCTCTGCTAAAATTTTTGTTTGATAGATACATAAATAAAACCCTAAAGAAATGTTTAAATAGAATGCCACAGAAGTTTTGAGATTTGAAGTCATCAGTGTGGACAGATGCATGCAGGGCCTAACTGGTCCACAGCACACCAACAGAACCTACTCCTGGATCACACTTAACCTCTGTGTTTTAAACTGATGACATAACATGTGGGGCATGTGGGATCAAGTGTAGAAATTAGTGCATCATTTGGAAAGCAACAGACACAAATATCAGGCCAGGACTCTGTTGCTTGAGACTAGAATTGACAGTTGTCTTGAATAGGCTTGGAGTAGAAGCCAGAACAAATGAACACAATGTCAATATCAAGTCCGTGGGAAGAAATCGTATGGCCAGAGTAGACCAGAATGAAAGGAGGCATCCAATGAACGACCATGTTGTGCACAGCATGGGACACAGGCACATCTGCTTAAAGTCTACATGCTATCTCTGCCAACTTTTTTTTCTGATTACATAAAATGCTGCCCATGCTATTGAAAAACACTATTTGACTTCAGGCTCTAGAATTGCCTCACCATCAGCTATTCAATAAAATTAGAATATCAAATGAAATCACCTGGAAAGTGATATAGAGCAAGAAAAAAATTACATTTTTAAAGTTCAGTAAACACTTTCTTCTCTTTACAACTTCTCTGTTACAGGGAGATTTGGTGCAGAGGGAATAAACTTCATGACTACCAGTCCAGCATGTGAGCTTGCTGCCCACATAAACCTAGTGTCTTAAAGGTATGAGCAATTTGGCCTCGGCCAGTTTTTCCTACCAGCTTCCAAATTGATAATTAAAACAGCCCATCCAACCCTTTTTAAAAAAAGTCACATTTCTCAGATCTCTAAGTTGAACTTCTGGATTTCCCCATGGGCTAAATCAGAACATTTTAGTTTAATTAAAGGTACCAAAGTGGGGAAAGGAGATAAAGGATAATACATCAAAACTAGCAAAAGGGATTCAAAGTTATTGCAGAAATAATGGATCACTAGAAACTCACTGGACCAACTCTTTCGTTGAGTCTCCTGCAGCTACAAAGATGTGTCCACATTGCCCAAGTGAAGGGTGGGCTAAGGTAGCAGAAGTTTCTTATGTTCCAAACTTCTTCACAGTCTTACTTATAGTTGTACTTCAGAACTTCTATTTCTGGCACAGATTTGTACCAATATTGGATTTCAGCACTGTAGTGTAAAGTTGTCGTTAAAGTGCTGTCCTTCAAGCTGAACTGTCACCACATTAATGAGATCAGTTGTGCCTCCTTGCAAGAGCCCATCAGGACTAGGCTTGCGAACTACAGACATTTTCTCAGATAAAGAGGAGGTAAGGAGGATCCTGGAACCCTCACCTGTATATCTAGCCGTTCCTTCAACCATTTTTAGCCAAGTCTGCCCTCATAGCACATGGCCTTGGAGTCTTTAGGAGGGGCTAGAATATATGGACTTGGGAAAAGTAGGGGACTCCATTGGTGTGGCTATGTGAGAGTTCGTGCATGCTGGGGATGACTTTCCAGTGCAGCTAGCTGCCTTGGGGTTGGTTACTCATGCTTTGAAGTAATTTCAATAAACTCATCGGTTCTCCAGGGTAAAGTGTGAGGGAATCATACTACGTCACTAGGACCTTAGAAGGAGGTGGTAGACACTGTTCCCATCTTTCCCAGGGAAGGAACTTTAGTGACAAAAGTATCGGAAAAGAACATTTTTCTCTGTCACTGTAGTCGCTCACAGTAAGACATTTTACTAAATGGGCCGGCAGGGACAGTAGACACACGTATTGGAAAATTTGCTTTTCAAACTGTGTTCCGCTCTTAATAGCATATTACCGTTTTTCCTTAAGAGATGGCTCTAGGATTAAGAGAACTGCAACGAGGAACAGCTCAGCCAGGAGGACAAGAGCAAGCCTTTACGCTACCGCCAGGGGGCAGACCATATGGCCACTTTACCAAGGTGAGTTACTAGCAAATAAGCAGGAATTTCAGCCAAATGGTTGTCAGTCCGATTTGTGCTTTTAAATTCGTTGTGTCCTTACCTGTCAATATTTTCTGTTTGTGTAAAAATGTATATATGCATACCCTGTGCTGTGAACTATAAAAATAAAAGAAACAAGTGAGGCAGAGAAAATCTGGAGTAGATGCAAAAGATGAATCTAACAATGAAATTAACTTAAGGTATGTACTCTTGAAGCCATACACTCTGGCTAGAAGTGCTGTGTTAAAATGGAATAAGGTAGCTGAGTTCACCTTTCACCTGGTGAGTAGTCCTACAGCATGACTTTGTATTGGCACCACAGTAAATGTCATTATGTTCCCAACACAGCACTCATCCTAAGAGCTTCTGTTCATTCCGTTACAATCCTCATGGTCACGGTACTTAGTTCAAACTGCTGCATCCATGAGAAGTGAGACCACCCTTAGGCTCACATGCCTGTCTTGTAAGACTCATAGTAAATGACTTCCTTATAAAGAAGATGAGCAGGGGGAACTCTTGTGCTCATTCACCAGACGTAGAAAGTGAAGGTCAAAAAACTAAGTACTTAATGCCCACTTCTAGCTAATGACAATCTTGGATCTAAAACCCAGGCCTTTTAACTCCATGGATTTTTCCTATTTGAAAACTCCAAATGCAATATCTCTGAATCTCCAGTTCAGACACTATGTGAGTGATATTTCAAATCACAGAGGTGAAATTTTATTTAAAGAACTGCAGGATGTAAGGGATTTTTGGTGCTGATTGGTTGTTCAATGAATTTTTAAACACATTTTAAAAAATTTCTGATAGAGAATGGGAAACGTATTGCATGCGATGAATTTGCTGTGCTCAACTGTTGTACCACATATGCTCTCTCAGGTCATTTTGTTCACAAACACGTAAGCAAAGGAATATTCTTTCTATTTTGTGTTAGAGTGACGGCTAACACTAGGGAGTGAAAACCAGCCCTAACTTTTTAGATGAGCATTATGAGTAGAAGGGTTTGCGAGTTACCAGCTCTTTCCGATGGAATGGTGATCTCTCTCCATAGAGATTTTCCATGTTTTTTGTTTTTTTGTTTTTTTTTTTTTTCCCTTTTGGAAGCGTAGTAGTTGGGGACTGTCCATAACCTTTTCCAACACAGAAGATGGATTGATTTTGATTGACTCTGTGTAAGAAGCTTGGTTGTGTTCCAGTTGGCAAAGACTTAAAGAAAAGGAATTACTTGAAAGGAAAAGGAAAGAAAAAGATAAATATTCTATCTAGCATCCTCCCTGGTTACTTGGAATTCTGGGTTTCCTTTGAATTTAAAACAGAATAATCATATTATGGCCAAGAAAAAAATTCCATAGAATCACCATGGAAAATACTCAGCAGTGACTCTCCGTATTAATGATGGTATTTTTCATGTTTCCTTTTGAAAACGTCTATTTGTGTCATATTAACTAGTGCCAGAGTCCGCAATCTATATGAAGCCATAAGTAAAAATATTAACTAAACTGGAAAAAAGCAAAGCACAGTCCATTTTATGAGATTTCTGAATATATATATGCTTAATATTACATATCTCATATTATGGATCTATAAATTTCCTTTATACATTTTTCTATTAAAAAGGCACTGACCATTTATTCACACTCCACCACCCTCTGCACTTTTAAATAAATATTTGTCTTAGTCCTGTTATCCATATGTCATCTTGTATAAGAACTAATATTAGGTAATTTTCCTACTCAGCTTAAAGAGCAGGTTTTCCTGGCAAGGGAACAGTTTTAGGCTATGTTCAAGTTTCCTCCATTGTATTTGGGAACACTGCTCCACAGGACTTCACACTGCCAACATTCTCATAGAAAATAACCTGCATGCTAAATAGAATTTGTTCCTACCTGGGTGACTTTTGACTGGATCTTGGTCTCCTATGATGAGCTCAGGTAAGAATCACTGGGTTAACTGATCACTTTGGAAGCATCTGTCTGGGAACAACTGTAATTTGGAAACCAGCCCTGTCACAGCTAGACCACACATGTGACAGCAGCACTTCCCGTTTCAGTGTACAATGCCCTTTGGGTCTATCGCCTGCTAGAGGAAGCAACTCCTAAGAAGTTTCCAGAGTGTAAATCCAGTCTGTGTACCTTTACACCTGGCAGACAGAGTACAGATGAGAGTGTGCTGCTAGAGTCCTAGCTTTGGCTCCACTGGGGTGGCATAAGCACTAGACTTCTGAATGCTATTGAGAGGACATTTTCTGCACATTGGCTGACATGTCGCCTGCCTGTGTTTTATTGGTTCAGTTTGCACTGGCATCGTCTCTGTTGTCCTCATTCTTTAAATGCTGACCATGGGTATGCAATATTTTGTCTATTTTTGTAGTGCCAGAGGA